TTTCATATCTGTAAACACACAGGAGGGTCTGGTAACCCATGATTTGAAAATGATATTGGTGCTATTGGTAGGCGAAGTGTAACATAAGATGGTAAGGATTCAGGGGAAATATGGGGAGAAAGGGAAAAAAAAGTTTGATGTACATATTAGAAATTCTCTGGGTTCTTTCTCCTAAAGGAAAAAGGAAACTTATCTTTAATCATATGTAAAAGAAAAGAATGAAAGGAAACAAGGTCCTTGGCCCAATAGCGTCCTATCTCCAGCATCCACAGGGGATGCTTAGAGGCTGTGGAGAAGATAATGTCGCCGGAAAGGACCAGCAATGGGCTGATTTTTCACACATGCTTCAGAGTCCTGTAACCAGACAATAGCCAGAGCGACTGTGTGCAGAAGAAAGATTGGCAAATCACAAAAGCAGAGATTTCTCCTTTATTGCCTAAAAGCAGATTAAATTATCCTTACCTAATAAGCAGCCAGGAATTCTGCACCAATTGTCTGAGCCCTGATCAGTCTTTTCTCACAGTTGTGGTATATTTCAGTTTGATTTCAAAATCTGAATCGCTTTTGGTTACTGAGCAAAGCCAGGTGACTCTTCTAAACCCCTGCCCTGCAGCAAATGAGGGACCGTGCCCTCACTCAAGGCTCCTTTTTCATCCTATTCGCAGCAACTAAACTACCTCTTATTTGTATATTCTATCAGATCCTCCAGGATGCATGTCAATTCCTAGGTGTGTTTCTGTAAAATTCATCTCCCTAAAGGTCGTCAATATGAATTCCAGTGACCATTAAACCCACCAATTGTTAATTTAAAATTTACGGAAGTGAGACATTTAAAACGACAGTTCCTGTGGAGACAGATTTGCAACCCAAACTGGTTCTTGGAATGAAACACAGCATCTATCTTCCTGGAGCGATTCTATTTGTATTTTGTTGGAAGACGGAGGTACAAATGTTGATTCTTCACCACATCTTCTTATCTCCAAGAAGTTTTTCTGAGAAGTCAAATGAGATGAAAGACGAACAAGAAATTTAAAAAAAAAAAATCCAGAAAACAAAAAACATACAGAGACCCAAGGAAAAGACACTGAATTTCATTTTGCAAGAGATGCATTGGTTTGGGCAATGCAATCACTGTCTTTTCTCCAGATTGGTTTACGTCTGCTGATGCTCAATTCGGTTACCATCAGCTCTCAGCTGCACAGCATCCAGACCCTTCCCAATGGTCCCCTTGCTTCTGTTCTTGTCAATACCACCCTTTCTCCACAGCAGCAGTTAACGTATTCATGCCTGAACCTCACCAATAACTTCCTGTTTCCTTTAGAATGAAGTCTGACTCCATCTCTACGTGCTGGTGGCTTCCCAGGGCTCTTGGTGAGCCGCTCTCTGACTTCTCTGTTATATTCAACTCTGCCTGGCTTTGCATTTTTTTTTTCGATGAAACACTTTAATTCCATTCTTGTGCCTTTCACTTGCTATTCCTTCTGCCCGAGCTTAACCCTTCTGGCTTCTCAGTACCATGGAAGTTTTAGTTCAAATGCTCTCTCTTCAGGGAAGCCTTCCTTGATTACCTACTTAAGTGTCACGACCTGTGACATAATCCTGTGTATTGTGGCATTACAGCTCTCAGTGCTATTTGGAATTGGGAGCCCAGGGAAAATGGTCATTACCCAATGGTATTATCTCTGTAGAGAGTTAATGGAATCTGATTTGAATTTCTACCATTGGATTATAACTTTATTCATTGAACTAATCTTTGATACCCTGTCCACATCTAAGGTTGTTCCAATCACGTAATCCCGTGGTCGAACACTGGGTTACTTGGAAAGATTTTAAGACACAATGTTTTCCCATAAAAAATTCTAGTATGCTGTCAAAGCGTATGGCCTG